CTAACAGACTTCGAAGTGTGTCTACTAAAGATCAATGACGTCATATCTACCGCGATACTGTTATTTGTAATTGCCCTACATTTACCTTTAAACAGCTATCAACGAATGATGTCGCCTCTGGTAACAATCAGAAAAAAGAGACAATTTTATGCATCCTTACCGTGTCCTTAGCCTCGTTCTCCTGCTTTAACTGCACCTGATCCTTCAGGCCTTGAAGTTCTCCTCGCAGATCTGTTTGTTGCTTCATGAACGCCTCTTGCTGATCCCGTACATCCCGTATCTCTCTCATGAACACCCACTGCACGAAATGGCCTCGGATTCTAGCAGATGCGTACCGGGATTTGTCCGTATTTTTCGCAGATACAAGCGGATACTGACGGATCAGATTAGAATCCGCCAGAAAATCCGAAACATCGGTTACTGCAATCCGGAACCTATTCCGTACAAATCCGAAAAACGGGATCCTTGTAGTAAATATTCCACACGGAATACGTTCGGTTTTTGCCAGGATACGCACAGAAAAGAATTTGGATCTTGGCAGATGCGTACCGGGATTTTCCTGAATTGCTGACAGATACAAGCGGATACTGACGGACCAGAATGGAATTCGCCAGAAAATCCGAAATATCGGTTACTGCTATCCGGAACCTATTCCGTACAAATCCGAAAAACGGGATTCTTATAGTACATATTCCACACAGAATACGCTCAGATTTTCCCGGGATTCGTACAGAAATGACCCCTGACAAATGCGTAACTCAAGATTTGAACTTTAATACCTTCACCATATTCCCATTCAGGATACATTCGGATACGTTCAGGCTTAATAGGAGCTCCTGCAACTAAATTGTTTATTATCAATACACAGTATAGCCTGAAACATATCGTGTTCACTTACCACTCCTAAGTGGACAGCTATGTCCTTACATTTGGGGTACATAGTTATCCATTTTGCTACCACTTACAAAAACTGTAACAAACATTTCTGTCCAACGTTACCCCTTAACAGTAAGCTATGCCTTTACACTTGAGGTCATAGTAAACAAACAAAAACTGTAATAAACATTTCTGCCCAAAGTTACCCTAAAATAGTGAGCTATGCCTTTACACTTGGGGTACATATCCATACGCAAATCATAGTGAACTAACAAAAACTGTAACAAAAATTTCTGTCCACTGAAAAGTTACCCCCAAAGAGTGAACTTGGGGTACATATTCGGACACAAATAATGGAAAACGTGTTTCACTGGCCTCAGAAAATTCACCAGAAATAATACTGGACCTAAGTTAACATTTAGAAATCCATTGATTCAACTCTAACAAGATGGGATTTTTAGACTTGGAAGTGGAAGAAGGGTCACTGGGCCAGTTACCTTCTTTGTTCACTGCCGTTTTACCTGTTCACTTTAGTATGAAGTTTAATATTTTTGGTCGAGCTCACTTTTGTATTTTGTAGATGTGGGCAGCCAAAGAATGGCCTTAGTAAAAAAATAATTTCCATTTTCATCATAAACTGGCTCGTCTGGTGACATGTACTCCGGACAGCTTGAGCTTGAGCCGCTTACTGTATGGTTTCTTCACCTTCAAGGTGATGATCCAGTTTCTGTTGGCAAAAAAGCCATTGATCATTTAATACATCATAAGACAGACTAGCAAAACCTTGTCACATACATCCTGGAGGTATAAAAAGGTAAACAAATACACAGGTGACAAAACGTCCCATGTCTTTATATAAACGTCTTCGAGATGAGGAGGCTCCGCCTGTAGTACTCCCTGCTGTTTGCAAATTACATTGGTCAGAAAACTTGGGCATCTTCAATGGACAAAAAGTAACATATAACTTGATCAAAATTTCTACCAGACATATAATAAAGGAATTGACAAATCGACTATACCTGAATACAATAAAAATACTGAACACTTTTTTTTTAACTGCTCCCTATTTTTGTCAAGACGAGGTTGGCCCGGCACGAATGCCTATTGACCGTTAGAAAGTATGAACAAGTTGCTACCCTACAAAGACAAGCCCCTAAAAGCCTTTCATCTATAATGTGGAGGGGGCAGGTTAGTTAGAGACATGCATTTTATAATGTTTCTGGCAGCGACATATCAATAACCAAATAGGTATGATAACTGAACTTACCAAACGCCCGATGTGTTGGATCAAGTGCGCAGGGCCGCCGTGCAAGGGGGAGGGGGCGCCGAAGCTTGCTACACACGTCACTATTCTGTGCGTTTGAATTGACATCACATCCTCCTCCTGTCCAAACACTATCAATCCTGTCCAAACTCGATGACCGATCATGGTAGACTGGTTATGTCATCATGGTATCACGAAAAAAAGCGATACAAACGCCTGATTTCACTCTAGTTTTCCCCTGCATCGAAGCCAACTTTCCTAACGGTTTTCATTCTAACCGCCAACACGGTACGCATGCGTACGCTAGCTGGCCAATCAGAGGCATCATTTAGACTTTGCTTCCTTTCATTGCCTTCCTCAAGAAAGTTACATGTACGTGTTAGGTACCTGATTTATAAGGGATGCAGATTGTTTAAACTCGGAAAGGTAGTATTACCCATGCTATATAAGTTTGGTAAATTCCAGATTTCGTGCAAACGAGATCAGAAAATTTCCTCTTCTGGTATCTTTTTCGGATCTGCGGGATTCGTAATCCATATGAGGTCATATGAATGCCAAGTGGGATCTGTTGGGATCTGTGGAAGCGAATCTGCATCTGGTATCTTTTTCGGATCTGTGAAACTTGGACTCCATAGTAAGAGTCAGTCAAGTGCGAAATTCTGATATTCACAAATTTCTCTGCGTTTCTGGTATCTCTTTCGGATCTGTGGAAGATAGATCCGCAAAATCCCGCTTCTGGTATCGTTTTCGAATCTGCAGAACCGTGATCCGTAAAATCCCGCTTCCGGTATCTCTTTCGGATCTGTGGAAGATAGATCCGCAAAATCCCACTTCTGGTATCGTTTTCGGATCTGCAGAACCGTGATCCGTAAAATTCTGCTTTTGGTACCTTTATCGGATCTGTGGGACCAGGAATCCATAGCAGTACGAAATTCTGAGATCCGCAAAATCCCGTTGCTGCAAATCACTTTCGGATTTGTGGAAGCGAGATCTGCGAAATCCCGCTTCTGGTATCTTGTTCAGATCTGCGGAAGTGCGATCCGCGAAATCCCGCTTCTGTTATTTTGTTCGGAATCTGCGGGAGAGTCCAAAGCAGCAGTGCCCTGTGGGTTATTTTAGAATCCGTTTAATGCCCGGCAGGCGGATTTGCTGAAATCTGTGGTAGTACATGTATGACGCCATGTTGGGTATTTATTGTATCTGTCAGGATCCGAGGCAACTCCAGACTCCCCTAAAAACCGAACTTATAACATATCCGAGAAAGAAGGTTCCTTGCGAATATCAAATTTGTATCTGTGATTTCTTAAAGATCCGGACGTATACGGTGCCGGAATTGTCGGATCTGCAGTGCTACTTCGTATTC